TGCAGCTGCTCCCTAAACCCTAAACCCTAAACCCTAAACCCTAAACCCTCCCCAGCTGCTTTGTAGCGCGCGATGCTCGCACTTACTTAAACCGGACATCTCCCTCCTACGGTCGACGAGGACATCGCCACACCCTGGTTGCCCCGCAGAACGCAACATTGGAGCCCAACATGGGGCCTAAATAATCACCCATACTATTTTAGAGGCTCCTTGTTACAACTATGGCAAAGAATCTTTAGAACCTTGTATATTGGCAGCATGGGTTGAAGATCCCTCAGTGCATCATTCGACTCGAAGCAACACATGCGGAGCTCTCAGGGCATTCAAGGAGGTGCCGAGCTGAATTCTGCAGACTTCACCTACCCCACCCTGAACACTTCACGCCCCTAACCCATCCCAAAGCCTAAACCCTAATAGCCCTAAGCCCTAAACCCTAGCCCTAAACCCTAACAACCCCGTCAGCATATGAAAACTTTAAACTTTAAAACTTCCACTCAGTCACGCCGCAAAGGGCTTCGCCAGCGGTTGACCTCATCGTGCTGAGTATTCGCGGGAATTTGAATGCGTGACGTGACGTGACGGGTTTAGGGTTTAGGGTTGACTGCCATGTGCACACCGTGCTTCTTCGAAAAGGACTCTAACAGTGGGTAGTAAATGCAGCATTGTGCCACCAGAATTTGGGATAATATTCTCTTCAGACCGCCAAACATTGCTTTAGGGCCCTGATTTCCGCGAAGGTGCATGATTCCCAACACCTTAGGATGGCCTCAGCTGACAGCTGGGACCCCCCCCTGACCCGAAGATTCCCTGTCCCGTAGGTAAGGATGCTCTAAGGGGCCTTAATACTTAGAAGATTGCAGGAGCCGGAGCATGGTAAATCGTACGAGCAATTATGCCATGTTTTGTTATATGGGAGTTTCCGAAAATAGGGGACCCTAATATAGCAACCTATATAGTAGGATCCCTATTATAAGGACCCCCCCCAAATAACGTACCCCTTGTTTTGGAAACCCCCATATACAAGAGTCTTCGGAAACTGACATGCTCTAAGCTTGGCCCTAAACCCTATAGACCTTAAACCCAGAACGCTCAACCGTCGTCTGTGGGGGCGAACATGCCAGCCTGTGAATCTCATACCAAGGCATCCGTGCGCTGGTAGGAATCAGTTGATGCTGGATGAAACCCTAAACCCAAAATCCCCAAACCCTGAGCTTTAAACCCTAAGCCCCCGGAGCCCTAAGACCCTAAACCCTAAACCCCAAAACCCTGAGCTTTAAACCCTAAGCCCCCCGAGCCCTAAGACCCTAAACCCTAAACCCCAAAACCCTGAGCTTTAAACCCTATGCCCCCGGAGCCCTAAGACCCTAAACCCTAAACCCCAAAACCCTGAGCTTTAAACCCTAAGCCCCCCGAGCCCTAAGACCCTAAACCCTAAACCCTAAACCCGATTCCCAAAAGCCGGGATTTTGGGATTAGGGCCTCAGGGATGCTCCCAGGCCGGGAGTTGACTACGGTCGAACCACAGAAATTTCGAGACGTTACCACGGTTTAGGGTTTAGGGTTTAGGGTTTAGGGGGTTGAGAGTTGCGGGTCTGGCTGAAGCCCTTAAAGCCCGGACTGATATGGGAGTTTCAGAAAATTAGGGTACCTTATTTTGGGGTCCTTATAATAGGGATCCTATTATTTAGGGTACTATATCAGGGTCCCCTATTTTCGGAAACCCCCATATGAAACCTCAACCTGATGACTGTAGGGGCCTGAAGAAGTAAGAGTAGGGTTTTGGGCTCCATTATGGTATACTTATGGTAAGGAACCCTGAGGAATAATGCTGGTAATTATCTAGGCTTCTATAGTAATTAAGCAGCCTTGCTGGCACAACAAGCCTTTTGAACATCCGCGGTTCCAGCTCAACAGAAACCAGAATTTAGGTTTAGTGTTTAGGGCCCATGTAGGGTGTGGGTGGACCTGGGTTTCGGATAGTAGCTATGTCGGGTAGTATGGGAGGGTGTATGATGATGAGATGATTAGGTACTTGGACCTCTTTGGGGTGTGGCAGAGTGGCCTTATGTCGCAAGTAGCCTCGTAAACCCTAAACCCTAAACCCGAAACCCGAAACCCTAAACCCTAAACCCTGAACCCTAAACCCTAAACCCTAAACCCTAAACCGAAAGCTTGCCCGAACCAACTTTTGGTGCTTCCATCAACTCCCAAGCTCTTGCAGACTGCAGATTCGAACATTCTTGGAGCCATAAGCCCTACTTAAACCCTAAACTCTGTAAACCCTATAAGCCCTACACCCTAAACCTTTTTAGACCTTAAGCCCTAAACCCTAGACCCTACTCCCTAAAAGCCCTATAGGCCCTAAACCTATACATATATATTTTTCTATATATATATATATATATATTGTTCCCAAAACATGAGAAGCTTGAAAAGCCTGGAAGGTGCAAAACCTAGGCCTCTGAACCAATAAGGGTTCCTTAAAGGGGATCCTTGAAAGGGATCCTTTAGGCGATCCTTTTTTTACCGGTTCCTTTAGGGGTTCCTTTAAGGGATCCTTGAAGGGTTCCTTTAGGGGTTCCCTTAAGGTCAGCCTTAAGGGATCCGTTAAGGTTAGGGGTTCCCTTCAGGGTTTAGGGTTTAGGGTTTAGGGTTTAGGGTTTAGGGGGTTCCTTTAAGGGATCCTTGAAGAGGCTTTGGTTTTGCAAACTCCCGGCCGAGGCGCGGCACCTCGAGGCGATCGGCGCATGCAAAGAGGTCGCAGGCCACCTCCTCGGTCAGACAGAATGGTTCGGCTTGGCTTGGGGTTTAGGGTTTAGGG